GAAAACGAAAAAAGCCAGCAAAAGAGATTTTCTTATGAACAGATTTGGATAGACAGATTCTCGACGAGTGGTGGTAGGCCTCGTTTGTTGCTACCAGTACGTACGTCAGATGTAGCCATCGAAAAAATAAATAAATAAACCACGCTGGAATGCAATTTGTCTTTAGAAAAAATACGTTCTGTCCACCACTAATCCTCTGAAAGAAAACAGTTTTGGATTAAGTTAATGGTAATTTTTAGCGCTTACGTCCCTTCAATGGCCAGTAGTGACGAGAAGAGCAGGAAGTTACAGGGGCGATAGGCATTCTCGTTATCTGAGCCAAAGGCTGACAGACTCATCATTATTGGTTAATGCAGATCGCTGGACACGGGCGGGCCTTTGAATTTGAGCCGCCATTTTTGGAGCTCTCCATTCAGATGTGGATTTTTAAAAGTTGCATATTACTCTGCCTATTTCCCTTCGATATATTGAACTGTTTTACATCCCTTGTTTGCCGGAATTAAGATTATGAGGTCATCTCAACAATGCGCTATCGTCCTTTTGAAGGAAATTAAATCGTCATTTTAACTAACGAATGTCCATGATGCGAAGTGCTGCACTTTTTGGCCAATGTGATTGTTCTGTGCTAACAATGTTTGCGACTACAGTACTCAAAAGCCTTACTCTCGTGCACAAGCTCGGCATCGTAAAAAAGTAGTCTTTCTTTTCCTCGACCACAAAAGGAAATACTAATGCATTGGCCTACATTCATAAAGAGAAAAAATGCGGGGAGGTTAGTTGAAAAGGAACATGTAGCGGTTCATATAGAAATTCTGTCGCGTTGCTATTTGTAAAACGGCTCTACGCCAGTCAAGCCAGGAAGGTGTACCACTTCCACCACAGCTGGCTCCGTAGAATACCAATGATGAGGTTGCGAGACAAGATCCAAGACACGGAAGTCTTGAAATGGACCCGAATCCTCAGAATCCAGGTTACGATGAGGCATCTGCAACTGCGCCGGAACAGCCGCATCGTGACTAGTGTCAACCCAAGCCCCTATTTTTTTGACAACGGCGCTATGGTTGCTCGCCGAGAAGGAGGGCAAAAATGACGCTACAAAGACATCTTTCGAACGTTCCGCAAGTCCTTTCATATCAATCCGGACAATTTAGGTGATCTCGCTTAAGATCGATTGTCCTGAAGACGAGCAGTAAAGACTGGGGTAGTAATTTACGGCGCCAACTGCATGGCCGCTGCCGAAGGCTAAATAGCGGCTTGTAAGTCACAAGTGCTGCGGACCCCCAGTCCCATCACCCCATCCTTTTTAAACTGTCCACGCTATTACCGGAAATTCCGCGCGGATGTGGGTACTCTTAGACATCTTCGGAGCCAATGCAACAATACGACAACTATACCTACTGCCTCCGCTATCGCCTCCACCGGCACCCCTGCCGCAACCACCATGACGCCCACCGCCCGCGACGCAAACATCACCTCCTACCCCCCCCACACAAACTCCCCGCGCCAAGTGCAACGACGTGCCCACTCCATACTCCGTGCTGAGGCATAGGCTGGCCAAGGTAACAGACCGCTCGGGGAGCACGCAAGCCGGTGAGCCAGATGGCCGAGCAATCATCACGCCAGCATCTAACACGGGTGATGACATTTCGGCAATTAACAACTTGCATGCCGGCCAGCAAGCAATTAGCGCACCAGCGGGCAACGATCCTTCATGAAGGGGAGCGCGGTTAATTGCTATAGGTATGCGGTAGCATAGCGACTGCATCCTATAAATGCTGCAACTTCCTGTGCACGAGTCACCCTTTTCTGCTACTGTCTCTGATGATGGATTCAAGTGAGAATCCGAAACGTCAGGCGAATAAAGACCTTGTTCCAGCGATCGCTTCTTCTGATCAACTGGTTCCTGGAACTCGAATCTTCGCTTGTAACAGACAAGATGATTTGCTCCGCACGTGATTGAAGGGAATTCCGTATATTAAGTGAGTAACTGGGACAGTGACCAGGGGTTTGGGAGATGGGTTCTGTTGGTTGCACCTCTACTATCTATGCTACTGTTTCGCCCATGCCATGTATCGTTCTCTTATTCTGAAGCCCACCCTATTGTGTCGGATCTTTTTCTAACATTTGTTCTCTTTTCTAAAACCTCTTTTACTTTTGAGCGCTAACGAGTCATAAAGTTAGAAAGTGCTATATCAGCAAGTTGTTGCGCCAATGTAAAGCAAGCGATATAACTAGTAAAATGAACAGCAATCGGAAAGCGACCCATATACATCGACGAAAATCCCGAATTTCACGTGAAAGTCTAATGTATTTGCTTTGGATCTCGTTTTCCGAAGTGAGGTTGGGCAGTCTAGATAGTGTTTCGATTGATTTCACAGAGAGAGGTCACCAGAGTAAAGGTTTTCTTGAGGCTACGCGCTGGGGTTGCCAGAAACTAATAGATTTGAGTAGAATTGGCAGATCCACTCGTAAAAACACCGCTCTCAGAGTACGACGAGAACTTGTATTCTGCAAAATTTCTTTGTGATTTTTGCCAACGGCCGGAGTCGTCCAGTTCAGGACGTCTTTGAAATACCAGTCAACACTTCATTGTTTCGTTATTCTCAACTGCCTGCCCAAAAGATCGATTTTTTATTATTTTTACGCGCATACCTTCAAAATAAGACAGCTCATGAGATAATTTGCCTCAACAATGCGTTTTCCTGCGCTCTTATTTCTTTTGATGGCAGATCGGGACATGCTTATAGATTAATCCAAAAAAATAAAATCCATCCATCGTAAAATATAGACGTCAACAAGGAAGGCCCGCACTAAATATTCTCTTCCTCATCAAAAACTCTTCTACAAATTTACTTTTCAAAAGATAGCCTAATAGGGCATTTCGCTGAACCCTTGTCCTCTTATGCACTTCCCTTGGGACTATGGATACTTCTTCTGGCTCAGATAAAGGAACTCACTATTCTCTTTATATCAGAGACGATTTCGTTCCCCTTGTCCTTGTTTCTTGACATTAAATACACCGCAGAGTTGCCATATAAACTGCAAAATATTAATCATGCTATTGCCGCGCTAAACTGTCTTATCAAATGGTGTGCCCTTTCACGGTTACAAATGGAATAATTACGTATTTCAGAAAACCAGGGGTACTTAAGAAGAAGGGATTTCCTTAGCTTGTTATAATTGATTTTAGAGTTAACATCGCACATTTTAAGAAATACGAAATATTGAAAAAAATATTATTTCTTATTTTTCCGAAAATATGAAGTTCGTTCGTAACAAAATTTGTTTGGCGTACGCAGAAGTGAAATATATTTTCATGTGGCCGAATTGTGCTTTGGCAAGGTTTTCAAATTCGCACTGACGTTCCTTAGTGGAAAACGCGTATAGATATGAAACTAGGGTTGAGGACAGTTATGGACAACTTACCTCTGTTTAAATTCCAGACTCTGTCAGTCCGAATTGCCTCCAAAACGGCTCAGGCGGCAGATGTGCTAGACGAACACAGGGATCATTTTGGATTGCGGCAGGTGTTATCGTGAATGCACACGCATAACAAATACCAACAATCTGGGTGCGGTGGCAAGCCCAGCTGCCCTGCTCACCCCGCGCCAATTGAGATCCTTGAAGCCCTCCCCATTGTTGTTGTTGGTTAAGTGTTTGTTGCGAATCGGGGGGTATGAAGTCGTACGCCTAGGTGCGGGTTCAATCGCCGTACCATTCACCCGCGCCCTCCCTCACCTCTGGTCCCCTTGACTATGTCTTGATACCGAACCCAGGTGCGGTAAATGCTGCCAAAGTCTACTAGTCACCGTACTTGCTCTCACCCTGCTGTGAAGCATGCGGTTGACATTGAAGCTCACGACGGTCGAACTGTCAATCCGGAGTTCGGATATGGCTAACCAGTTATGGTGCATTTAATCCGCAGGATCCGTCGTATAGTGATTTTTGGTCACTAAAGATTCAGTTGCAAAGACCGATCGAGCAGTTCACAAGGCCACCTAAATGTATTGAATTTCTTCATGAGTTCCATTTTTAATTATTTGAAAGAACTGCTCAAAATGAACAACGAAAAACCAATTTTTTACAAACTGTTAATTGCAAAGTCTGTGTTATGCTTTACGTTTACAGTTTAGTTGGCCGGCAGGAACGCTGCTTGAGATCGTTAACGAAGTCAGTTAAGGATAGGCAAAACTCTCTAAAGTTGACGTAATTCAGAACTTAAGGGTGGACGTGTAAATGACAGAAAAGGGACTTTGTAAACGAGGTTGCAAATTGGAATATTTGAGTAGTACTTTACGTGGAGGTCCGTGCCTCAAAATTACCGTTTACATTACGCCAACAGCAGCTTGCACTGCAGTGTAAATGCTCTAATCAGTCACATTTCATCTATCTAAAGATAAGTTCGTCTAAACACTAGTTAATTATGCCTTATATAAAAAAAAGGATTATGGAAAGTTTGTGAAGTGATCCGTATCGATTTCGCGCAACGGCAGCATTAAAAGGAGAGCAAGTCCATGGCCTGATAATAGCATTTTAAGAGTCCTTGTGAAAAGAATATACTATTTTAAATGCATGTCGTCTGACTAACGTTTGTGATTTTGTCTACCAAACAGTCATGCCGATTCCATTGTTATGAACGTTGTCAATTATGCGTTTGCTTCAGAATCCGAAACAGATCTGCCTAACTGATGTAGCATACGTGTCCCCATTAGTTTTGGTTTTAATTAGTTTGTTTTCAAAGTGTTCTCGTAAATGCGCCTTAATTTCCCAGGCAATGACGCTAAACCACCCAACGCAAATGGTGAAAATACTTTTAATCAATACAGGGTGCATTTGATCTCCATCTCTCATAGGAGAATCATAATTATACAAGGCGTTTTATTGGATAGAAACTCCTCATTTAAACAAATCCTCTTTGAGCGTCAGAGGTATCTGAATACATAAATACAGCATCGTTTCGGGTATCAGGTAACCAGCTCGAAGTAACTCTCTCAGAAACTATGGACAAACACGATATCGGCATTTTGGTAGGAACGATTATCGCCCTGCTCTTCTTGATTCTCGGCGTGGCCATTGAAAGATGGACTTGCGGTGGTGTGCTAGGCAACTGTATTAGATTCTCCAACAACGCCTACCTGGCCATCGGCGTTCTCCTCGTTATCGCCATCATTCTGCTCGCATTTGCACTTATCTTCATCATTCTTGATCTGACTATTGGCGACTACTGGATGGACATCGCAGCCATCGTATTTGTCTGCATTGCAGCCATACTAGCACTGGCAGCCATGCTCTACTACTACATTGCGGTGAATCCGTGGATTTCGCCTATCCTGGCGACCATCGGCATGGCTTTTGCTGTGGCAGTAGCTATATTCATGCTGATGCAGAGGATATCCTGCTGAGACCTCAAGACGCTGTAACTGTCAAATCATGCAATTTTGCTAATGTTCGTTTCCCACATTGCAAATAAAGAATTCCAACATGCACAAGATAGACTCCTTTGTTGTATGCCTTACTGGAAACTAAGTAGTTTGTTATAGAGAACGTTGACAGGTAAATCTCAGAGGGTTGCTAAGACAGTTTCAAAAGTATTCTTTCAATTTTCGGCCCACGTTTCAACAAATCATCCTATATCGGGACTATGTGTAACTTCCTGTGCAGCTAAGACCGACCACGCAGTAAATGCGCTGGACAAGCAGGGGGGGGGGGCAAATCAGGGTGAGATTCGCGTATTTGGACTGAGCATTCATAACGAATCTCACTACTGTAGGTTTTGTTGACGCGCCCAGCTGCGAGCTCACGCCGCATCAGACACTTGTGCCTGATCCCGTCTCCGGCCATCTTTACTCAGCGATAGTCCCGAGCCTAACAGAGTGATGGGAGAGTGCGACGGATGCAGCGCAAGTCCACGCATAAGTCACCGTCCCTCCGTCGGTGGGGGGCCGACGGAGTGGACATCGTCGGACTCGAAGATAAGAATGTCGGATCACGGACTATACGCAAGTCTTACAAATGTAATGAAGTGGTCCCCATACCACAGTCTCAGAAACCAAATTTTCATCATGGAAAATGCTTGCCACTTCTAACGAAAAATATTTCTGCTACCTTGTAGTAGTAACAAATTCATTTAAAAACCACCCGAAAAAAGTATTATTGTACTACATCCATATGGAGGTATAGCTTGAAAGACTAATTTGTTTAAGAAAAAGGCCTTAGATGGACGACGGGGATTGCGCAGTCTAGTCATACCCTAACTCCAGACCGACAGTTCGACCGTCGTGGCCGACAATTTCGACCGTGTGCACCACAGCAGGGTGAGGACAAGTACGGTGACTTTCGCGTGAATGAGTTTATGGTGAGAGTAGACTTTGGCATCATCTACTGCACCTGCGCCCGGTACCCAGACATATCCAAGAAGGCCAGAGGTGAGGGAGGACGCGGGTGGATGGTACGGCGAATGAACTCGCACCCCCCGTTTTGCAACCGGTTGGGTGGAAAAATAATAAAAAAGTTGTGCAAGGAAGAAAGACATATCGTAAGATAGTTTAGACGGGAATCTGCAGACGAATGTTCAAATGCTCCACATCTTTAACTAACTGTAACAAACTAGATTTCAAAACGCAATATTATTCATCATCATTTATGATGATATCTAAGACGATTCGAGTACTTGATATTCATCAATACAGAATTATATACGCGAACGGAGCCACCATCACGTTGGAAACTGGGAAGGACAAACTGCAGCATGCACGTCGCCAGTTTGTCCCCCAAACGCAATAAATTATATCTCAACTTCACATATTACTGTAAATCTGTCGAACTTAACAACCTAGCGTCTCCTGCCCCACTCAACTCCCTGAACCCCGGTATGCATATTTCTGGGTCTCGGCGGACGTAGGACTTCTCTATCATATGTTCATTGGTCAAAACGACAAAGCAGTATGTGAGACGATGCGAAAATCGAGGTCGCTTACGCAAAATTAACACGAGTCCCACTGTCGTGCCTTCGCCGACCTGATCAGCAAATTACAATTTTTCCTATATATTAGGTTCGAATCACCTATTCTCCAGTTTCATTTTAAAATTCCCAATTAAGTCTAAAAATTCGATAGGTCGTTTTGTTCTCTGCCAATGCATTTTAAATCCGGCCACAACCCAATACAGAATGCACGTAAACGAGGGAAGAGAAGGGGGAAACTGCGGCATTAGACATAAGTTCGAAGATATAGGACTTCAACGGCATGCCTAAACGCCTGACCAAACTACTGAAATACGACTTCAACATATTACAGTTGCATGCAGTATTCGAAACGCGACTTCCTTCTGCATTTCCACCTAGAACCTTCTAACTGCATGGTGTGTACCATCTTTCAAAGCAAATTCTTCCGACTCACAGGCGATCTGAGCTGCTCAGAAAAAATAGTGGAAATAGAGTTTATTAGTGTTTTTTAATGGCCCATGTCCTGGCCCTCCGGCAAACCAATTTGCCATCTGCGTATCATACACTCAAATCACTTGATTCTGGCTTATTATTAGAAATCACCTGGGTTTTTGGGAAGATTCCGTGATTAATTTTGGCTTTTATTTAATTAGCAGACTGCACAGATTCCATTATCGCCTTTCAGAAAGCGTTATAGTGTTAATAAGTAACACCTCGTAGCGCATATAAGATTCAAGGATACGGTCTTGATGTTGGCAGTTCAGACAGCCCCCGACCATTGGCAAATGGAATAACGTCTATGTAATGTATTCACAATAATGGAACGTGAGTGTATGAAAACAGGTTATTGCAGTTGCAAAACTTTCAAAGTACATGCCTTGTGTGCAAACGTTTGTAAGTAACTAAGAGTATTCTTCCCTTGGGCGGGACCAGTCTGTCCCTTAAACGGGTTGTGGTTTTAGGCAAGTCAAAATAGTTAGCCAAATTACCACCTATGGAATTATTTTTCCAAGGGCAGGATAAATTGTTAGTGGCTCTAAAGATCTGCCTTATTACCATTTTTCACGGCATAACTTTGAACACGAATTGTGGACCCAAAAAGAATATGCGCTCACTGAGCCTTGTAACTCAACATCCAAAGCCAGGAAAAGAACAGCGCCAAAAGCCTGCCCGTGGACCGGAGATTTATACCGATTATTAGGTTTCCAGTTAATCATCACTATTTCCACATACGGCCAAAATGTGGCAAAAATTTCCTTGCTTACGTACAGCAGAAGTTGATTAAGGCAACGAATGCTTGTATGTATTATTCAACTACTATTGATCCACGTAATTTTTCATCGAACATTCAATTTACTAAAAATGCTGTTTTTGGTGAAACATTATCTTCTTTCTCGTTTAATAACGATTTTTATTTCAATATGACAATATGGATTTAAATAGATTCAAGTTGCCACTGCTGACGGCTAAAAATATCGCGTATGATGGAACGTTGTTAACCATATATTTATATATATCCGAGATAACAGTTGGTCCGTCTGTTTACGAAACATTGGATGTAGAAACCTAAGCAGTTGACTACGTTTTGTTGTAATCAGGCCTCCATCATAATACTACTTACGTCTTCACACGTCTGCCGTGAAACGCTTTGTCTTAAGACATTTATGGAAGTGTGGAAGACCAGTTTTGCTAGTGCAACGCTATTAGTACGTCAATCTGTGGACCCTTCCGATGACAGTATGACGAATCTTCGATTCTTATTGTTAAAATTCCTGGATGAGGTTTGTCTGACATAGATTACTCTTGGATTACTTCTGTACGAATGGTCTTCTCAAGACTACTTCCTACGCATAGTAATTTGGCCTTGCAGTTTATCATCTGCGCTGTCCTAATAAAGTTTGTGGAGACCGCGAGAAAGTTTCTGTCACATGTTTTGGAGTAAATATTTGCAAGCTCACATTGATGCTGGTAGTATATCTGCAAGACTGAGTAAGAGGAGCACATCTTCGGCACTGATTAGGATTTAGGAAAACTGCCATGCAGCTTATGCAGTTTTTCTCAGGGAGAATACAAGAGACCCCCTGGGCGAAATTCTTCACAACGTCTGTAATTACGGAATACTTCTCAGACCTTCAGTTATGCTTTACATGTTCGTGGCGTGAAGTTAAGTTCGAGAGACTTCAATATTCTTGAAGGTAAGATTTGCAGTTTGGTGAGTTCGCGTCAGATTGCACGTGAATCATGATCATGAAAAATGGCGTGGTCATTTCGCACACTCTGTCACAACTTCAGTACGTTTTTGCTTATTTTCAATCGTTGGAGTATTTTTGATTATTCTAGAAGGAATATTTATTATTCAAATATGCACGCTGGTCGCCGAAAATGGTCTCTGGGCCTATGCCACACTGCTAAAAAAACTGCGTGACAAAAAGTTCTCCGTTGCCAACCTATTAATATCTCACTAAAGATATTCATTACGTACAACGAAATGAAACCCTGAGGTGTCACCCTTCAGTTTTAATCTGCTGGTTTACTCTGGTTTATTTATGATAAACCAGTGGTAATCGCAATCGGCTCATCTATATTTTTAGATAGCTCAAGCAAATACTTCCATAAAGATGTCCGTTAGTGACGATTTGACAGAATTTCCTCGTCGCTCGTGAACCTTATTCAACGTCTAGACAGAAGGTTTTCCCGAAAGCACGAAATATTGGAGCTGTTCTTCTCATCCTTGGCCGGACTCGAAAACACGAGAGTAATATGGTTAGGACTAACAAGCGTCCTAACCAAGTAGATGACATCCATAACGTTTATCAGTTTTCTCAAGTCGTTTGTGAGAATCCGCCGATGCAGATTTTTTAATCAGATTTCGAAAACATTTTAGAATCTTGCCACTCCATCCCTTTAAAATCACACCCCTGCCTACGCAATTTGAAGTATATTTTTCTCAAAGGAAAGCGAAAAACCCCTCCCGCACTCAACAAAACGGAAGTACAAAGTGCT